AATAAAAGTAAAACAATAAATGATCTATGTTTGTTTTGTTTTTCTTTTAAAAGTTGTTTCTTACATTATCAGAAGTGGGATAAACAGGCAACTGTAATTAATTTTGAGTTTTGAGTTTAAAATGGCATTTTTATCGCGACTTCGTAAAGATCAGTTACGTTACGTAGCTAATGAGTTATCTGAAGATGTTTCGTATATTACTTTGAAAATCCCTGACTTGAGAAAGTTAATATTGAATAGCGAGAAATACGATGAAGAAATGGTTCGAGGAATGGTAGAAAATTTGGTTGAAGACGCCGAGCGCCTTCGTCAAGAAGAGAAAGAAAAAGCCGATCGCCAACATGCATTGGAAAAAGAAAAAGCCGATCGCCAACATGCATTGGAAAAAGAAAAAGCAGATCGGGAACATGAATTGGAACTCAAGAAGTTAGATATTGCTGCTAAAGCTTCAATCGTCGAAACTGAAGTAATAACATCGTCGCCAAAAGTTGATTGGCAGTCACAACTGAGAAAGTTTTCTACGAGTAATGAGGATATCAGCCTTTATTTAGTACATTTCGAGAGAGTAATGAAAAGAGTACAAATGTCAAGTACATTGTGGATGGCATGTTTAATTAACCAGTTACCAAGTGAAATTGTCCAAATGATAATGAGAGAACCAGAAGAACAGTCAGAAAATTATGACTATGTTAAATCTCTTTTGCTTAAGTGCTACAGATACAGACTAAGTCCTGAAAAATTTAGACAACTTTTTTATTCTCATGAGAATACTGATGGAAAGTCATGGAAAGAATATTACCACGAGCTTGAAACGTATTTTAATGGGTGGACTGCAGGACTTAAAATAAGTAGTTTTGAGAGTTTAAAAGACCTGATCATCACAGATCGAATGAAAGCTCGGGTGCCGCCAGATATACGAGAACGTTACTTGGATCAGTGGACCCATATAATTTCACCCTATACATTAGCTGAAAAGGTAGATGAATTTATTGAACTCAAAGATGTTTTTAAGAATCATATTCAGTATAATAATAAATATAGTAACAATAAGTTTTTGAAAGAAGAAAATATCGCCAAGGGCAAACAAACAGAGCCAAGTCGAAGTACAACTAATAATCAAACTGTTTGCTACAATTGTTATGATACCGGCCATTTTGCCCGTGATTGTGTAAAGCCAAAACGTCCAAAGTTTTGTACTGCCTGCAAAACAGAAGGACATGGTACAAAGGAATGTCCAAAGAGAGCGTCTTTCCCATTAGTCAATGCAGTTTCGTTTTTACCCAGTTCCAGTAATAGTACAACGAAGAATATTATCATAGAAGAAGTAAATACTAGTGCTCTTATGGATACCGCTGCTGATATATCTATGTTAAAATATAGTTTTGCACAAACGTTTAATAAAAATATACATAAAAATATAGTTACACGAATTCGAAGTATTGGAGGTGTAAGGGAGTCACTAGGAATTATCGTGGAGCATCGTTTATACGACGATCACTTATACGACGTTTACATTTATACGACGTTTTAGTGTGGTCCCAGATCATTCCTATTCAATTTAATGTAAAAATATATCGTTTATACGACGCACAGAATCGGTTATACGTCGGTTTTTAGATTTTGTTCACGTTTATTTAATTTTTTTCTTTTTTCTTGGGTATTTTAAAAAAGGGCGTAACTTGCCAACATGAATGATACAGAAAAGGGTGCCAACAAGAATGCTTGGATGACGACCGTAATTTTTACTAGATGACTGAAAAAACTAAACAATGTTATGAAGAGGCAAAAACGAAAAATTCTGCTATTCATCAACCAATGTCCACCGCACCCATCGATATTAATTATTTTGGAAAATGTTAAAGCTCTCTTTTTTACTGCAAATTGCACAAGTGCACTTCAGCCATTAGATTTGGCCGTGATTAGAAATCTACAATTGCATCATACAAGTAGAAAGCAATAAGTTCAACTCGCTATTCAAAGCCTTGTAGAGACTAATAGCAAGAAAATATAATTAAAGCTAACATACATTCAAATTGCTCACTGCAATTTTTCTTCTTTGGTTATTTGTTTGTTTTGCTTTGTCTAATTTAGAAATTTATGTAAATCAACACGTTAAACATTAAAATTAACTGAAAACAGAGTAAGTTTCAATTTTAGAAGTAAAAATCGATTATACGACGTCATCGTTTATACGACGTTTTTCGGTGGTCCCTTCGGCGTCGTATAAACGATGTTCCACGTACTGAATGTGACTATAGACAGGGTAAAGCTGAAGGAAGTTCTGTTTTATGTAGTGACTGATGATATATTTGAAGGCCCGGATGTTCTCATCGGGAACGACATCATTGATGCACCCGAGATAATAATGGTTAGAAATCAAGGCAGGTCCAAGTTAGTTCATGTGGAAGACCTGGATTTTTTGTATGATTTCCAGATTAAGGAAATGCCTGATAGGGTTGTGTTGAAGACCCTCGAAAAGTTCGTGATTGAACCGCGTACAGTTCAATTGGTAACGCAAGATCTACTACCAACATCAAATGACTACGTAAATCCAACAAAACTGCAAAGAAATGCCCAAGAAAGTATTATCATTGCACAAGAAAAGATGAAAAGGAATTATGACAAACATCGATGTGATGCATTTAAGTACAATATAGGTGACGTTGTGGTCGTAAGACGATTACCTGAACAAACTGCCTTATCTAACACTAAAACCCAAGTTAAGTACAGAGGTCCTTTAACAGTCATCAAAATATTACCATCCGACACTTATCAAGTAACTGATTTACGCGCAGTTGGACAAGGAAAACTAACTTGAAACTATTTCATCTGGTCAACGACGAAGATCTGTCTGATGATGGGGACAATATTACTGGAAGTAAGAAAAACTTCATTGCTTGTGAACCCATAAACGACAACAATAGTACAAATCAATGCAACGACGATCCAAAAAAATTTAAACCAAGATAACAGTAGACCAAAGAGGTGTAAAAGTGTGCAGTGTAAAAGTGTGCCGCTTCACTTGAAGGATTATAAGTTGTTTCGAAGGGATGAGGTCGTCCAAAAGTCAGGATGGTCGAGTGTAAAAGTGTGAACGTGAACATTAATTACATATTTAGTATTCCATGTTTTGGCAACAGCAGTATTTAGTATTCCATGTTTTTGCAACAGCAGTATTTAGTATTCCATGTTTTGGCAACAGCAGTTCTTGTGTACGATATAGATTTTGAGTTTTTAGAATAANACTTTTATTATTTTTTATTATTTTATTTAATAATGGTCGAAAAATTTTGAAAAGTAAGGTATATAATTCTTTGCATCATTTTAAAGAATATAATTTTATCTGGGCACAATACAAAATTTGACAGAAATCGGCTGAATAGTTCCTGAGATATTGAATTTCAAAAAAGCCAGATGTTTAAAATAGATATTCTCCCTCTTTCCGCATCGCTTTTGAAACTATGCATTTTGCACAAATATAAGTGTATGCTATTTCAAATTTTGGTCAATATTTGTTTCAAATTCAAATCATATTTTTCGGAACTATTTCTACAAACCCTTTTTTTTTTTGCAGTTTATGCCTGAATGAAAATGTAAATCACAAATCATGCCTAAATAGTTTTTGAGGAGCGAAAAACCATTTTATGTCATTTATGGTAGAAACATATTAATAAAATGTATTGCTCAGTATTGACAATTTTAAAGGAGTTAAATTATAAAACACATTGATTAAAATTTTTCTTTTTTATTTGTTTCCGATTCATAAATTACTTTTTTTTTTTAACTATTTTGATAGCGTGAGTGTAATAATTAAATAATGATCGTCCTACTCCTAGTAATATAATTTATGCATCTATAGCCCCTATTAATGTGATGAAAGAACTATTTTGAATGAAATAACTGTTTCTAATAATAATATAAACCAATAAAACTGATTTTAAAGTAATAAAGCTAACAAAATTTATGATTCTAACAGTTGTCGCTAGTTCCCCTCTTCCAGTCAAAAAAAAAAAGTTGGCATGACACTGTCCCTTCCGCAAAAGATTAAAATGGCATTTGGTGGCATGTTTCCGGATTATACTCGAGGATGTTTCCAAACCGTCGCCAATAGCCCATTGTGCAGCTTTTGTGCGACGTAAATAAAGTACTACTTCAAAATTCAAATTCGTGCTGCAATTTAGATCATAAATTTATAAGATCACCAAGTTATTTTTCATTCATTTTGGTGACTTTATTTTTTTACATGTTCAGAATGAATTGATAGATTGTATTAGATTAAGTTCAAGGTTATTCAGTATTCTGTTCAAAATATCAAATAAATTCATGCATATCCCTTTTTATCTTGCATAAAAAAAAAACTTGTATAAAAACTTTGTGTGGCGTAGACACTCTAAACGACAAGGAAAGACTTATCACTTATTAATTTGTCCACATTTGGTGAATATGGAGCAATGGCTGATTTAGCAATTCACCGAATACAAGATCTAGTCGGTTTTGCAGTAAAACGGAATTTTTTAATGCATATAAAACTTATATCTGATAGAATTTTTTTTATGATTTCTTGTTTCAAGTTATTAAAAAATATAATTGGAACTTTAGCAAATTAAAAAAAAAANAAAAAAAAAAAAAAAAAAAAAAAAAAAAAAAAAAAAAAAAAAAAAAAAAAAAAAAAAAAAAACGCGTATCCTGAATATGAGGAAATGCTGGTTTTGTAACTCAATGATATTCTTAATTACGTAGTTAAACACGGTCCTAAGGATAGTGGTAGTTAGAATATTAACTTATCTAAATTCTTATAATTCAATATTTTACCACAAATAGTAAAAGAAAGATTCAGAAAACTATTTTTTCTTGTTTATCTTAAAGCGAAGTAAACAATGGGTACTCCATAAAAGTCTAAAATGCACTTTTTTTCTTATTACTTACAGAAATAGAATATTCTTTAAATAAAAAAGTTAAGAAAAATGGCACAACATTTCTTGTTTAAGAATGACAAGTAATTAAAATCAATTCATTTATTTTTCTACTGTACAATCAAATAAATAACGAAACGTTTAAATTCTCAGTATTATATCACAAACGCTTTGTAAAACAAAAACAAAAAAATCACTCGTTCAAAATATCGAGCTTGATTCCTTTTCAAAAGAGCATATCAAATCCAGAAACAGACAGAAGATCGACCACCATTAATGTAAGTAGTACAAATAAAGAGAGTCCAACAGTCAGAATAACAGTTGAAGATCTAATAGTTGCTCCAAAAAGCTTCGACTGAAATAGAAAATAATTAGAAACATTAAATTATTGTAATGTGCCATAAAAAAGCTCCATCCATTGCGTTAAGCCTATATTCATATATTCCCGTTATTAATTGCAGAGCTTAATAGAAGAATAAAATATGAAATGACATTATATTAGCAATTATGGAAAAATTGCCGTTAAAATACATAGAAACATTAGAAAACTGTTTTTAAAACTTTTTTTCTAAAAAAATTAATTTAATTCGAAACTTTAAAAACGTTGTAGCGTATCTACCACTACAAAAATGGATGGTCCACATTGAACAGTTGACTTGCTACTTGTGACTGCATCATTATCCACCTCCTTACGCAGTTGCTACTCAGTCTCATCTCGATCACACACAACGTTGGCTTGCATACACTCGACTGCTAACGGCAACACAGGAGCGACTACAACCGTGAAGTTAATACACCTCTCACATTCAGCACTCAAAAAAATAATACGGTGATCTTAATACAGCTCTCCCGGCTTCGCACAAAAACAGCAATGAATCAACTAGTGGCATCCAGTCATCGAATTCTATCATAGCTATAATTCTGGTGGGGGAGTACTGTAGCGTATCTACCACTACAAAATTACAACTACATTTCACTAGTATATAAGACATGTTAACTCGACTCTATGTCGGGGTACTTTTTCATAGATGAAGGTTGACATGGTCTAATATTCCTCTCCCCACAACGTCATGTTCTTCACTTACAGTTCCTTACATGGGATTTTCTTGTTTTGAAAATGACAGACGATTTAGAAATCCAAGAAAAACGCGAAGGAAATTAAAAAAAATTATCGGCAATTTTGAAAACTAGTCATAAAGTTCTAAAACGACAACAAAAGGCGCTGTTAATTTAAAAAACCACAGAACTCCATTCTCATAATAACCACAATTTTTCAACAACAAAATTAACAGACGCGTTTTGCAATTTTTCATTTCATTCTTTTACTCTGAGTGCTGCACAGATGTCACCACTTCATAATTCGCCGATTACCACTAATCCCTCACTCTTTCATAATTTAGAGATCACTATGTTTGATAGAGAAGTCTGTTCTTAAAAACACTTTGACACAAATAGTTAACAGTTGCTTGTTTTAAATAATACGCGTCCTCAACAGTCACCATTCCGTAGACAAAATACACTTACTTTCCGGCTTTAAAAACGTAGTTCTACGTAGGTAGTTAGTTCTGTTCTATACGCAACTACATTCTCTATATTCGTGCAAACTGGTTGGTCAGTTGTATGTAATAGGTAGGAAGTTGTATGTAATAGTAGGATAGGTAGGATTTTAACTTCTGATATAACTCAAATACTGACGTTGCTGTCTCTGTTATATTTCAGACGCTATCTAACATATTCACTTAAATTTGCTCAATCCATACATGAAATTGTAAGATCAATTTTAACAAAATAATTATATAATTGTAATAAATGCCTCATTTACTCTTAGGGTAGCTCCTCCAACAAATAGTACAAAAGAATCTAATTCTAACATGGAGCACTGTTGATATCCAAATACTCGCATCTCAAATGATATTTGGCGTAATTTGCTGCCGATACGAGTCAGTCTTGCTGCCTAAAAACAATAAAAGAAGAATTAGTGAGTCATTTAAAATTTAATTTTTAAACATTGAAAGGCGTTCGCATACCTATGAAAAATAAAAAGAAATATTTTTTATAATTATTAATATTTTATTTATTTAACGCCCAATGCGTCCAGTTTGACAACACTTATTTCAAAAATATTGCAAACGACTAAAATTGTAAAACTATTCGCTTCTAAACGTTTTCCAGATTTTTGCCTCTATTCGTTAAACTGAGTTCAAGAATATATTTTTACTTTGAATTCGCGATCTACGGTCGCAGTTTCCGATAGCATATTGTACGTGCAAAATTTTCCATTTATCTCTTGCTAACAACTAGTATCACAGGTGGACCAGAATGACGGGGTTCATTAATATTTTATTATATTATATCTAGCGCCGTTAGCAAAGTGTTATAAATTTGCTCTGCCGAAAAGCGTTAAAATATTCTATAAAAATAACAGCATTTTCATTGATCTGTAGATCATTTATAATGAAAAGATCAACAGCTCAATGTAATAACTTCATCTGTTGATCTGTTGGGTACAAAATAATTTCAGCCGGTTACCGTAAAATATTTTAACCTCTTGAGATCCAGTCCTTAACAATAGCAGAAAATGCTGTTTTTACTTAGAAATATGTAACATAAAAGAAAGTAATTTCTTTCTTTTAATAAAATTCAATTAATTAATTTATGTTTTCAGCCGTGTTTAATTATATTACATAAAAAAAAAAGTAAATTTCAATTGTTAACAGTTTTGTTGCATGTTATGGGATATTTTTATAGTGTATTTCTTCACATTTTGGTCATGACATGAATCCTCTAAACTCAAATGATAAGATATTTGTAGGGCATAAAACTGCCCGATAAAATTTAATTGAATAAATAAATACCGATAAATCTTAATTTTCAAATAATGTTTCAACGTACTCAAGGACTCAGATTAATTAGGGTAAATCCGACTGCATTTTTACATAGACAATCATTTTGTAAAAGCTATTTTCTAAATGTTCGATCGCTCGCCTCGCTCACCAACACCATCAGTTATTGCTTCTTGTTCATAATTTTTTTCTTGATCTCTTTTTTTTCTATTACTTTCGATATTAAATCAAGCACAATCTAATATAAAGATTGTGTAAATAAAATATCTACAAAAGCAGATGAAATGTAATTACTTAAAACAAAATGTGTGAAAAAAGCACTAAAGATATGCTTTTTTTAAACTGGAGTATAAAAAAGGGGTTAAGTTTACTAATTATCAAATTCAAATTCTGCCATAGCATGTACGAGCCATGCAGTGAGGCCCGCATGGTACTTTTTACTCCAATTTCAACAATTTTTAATTTTCGAACTAACAATAAAAAATAAAAATAAATTTATTTATTTCATCGTACTTCTTGTACATTTTTCTACACACTATCGTAATTTCAAATTCCCAAGTCACATATTTTTTGTGACGAAGAAAAATTTAACTTAAAATTATGTAAAGTAAAAAAAGCAAGAAATAATTTAAGAAAACAGCCCTGAAAATAGCAATAACTTTCCAACAAATAAGAATTTTTAAAAAAAGTCCCTTACAGCCCGTCAAATTTTAACTCTGTAATTGAATTTCTGCGAGATGCAGAAATCCAAATACAGAGTCTGCAATCTTGGTTAGCATCTTCTGCGACCAATTTAAAAGTTATTAATTATCGAACTAGTTGCTCGAATATTAAAATATTTTATTCCACCTCACACCTTGTATATTTTTCTTCACCCTTACAATTTCAAGTTCCTAAGTCTAGATTTCAGTTTTTTGAGCAACAGAACAAAATGTAACAAAATTGAACACACAAAACAACGACGGCTGCTTTTATGATTTTTTAATATAGGGATAAAGCTGTACTAAGTGCTGTACAACATTTTGGACGCTGTCTTACAGTAGATTAAGTGATGTACACTGACTGAGCAAAACTCATGGGATACCCACCTAATATCTCATCGGGCCCCCTCTGGCCCTGCGGAGTGCAGCGATACGGCGATAAGTGAGTCTGCAAGGCTCTGGAACACGTCCGGATGTAGTTGGCACCACCAAGGGCACCGGCAGAATAATATAAAAGGGGGTGCAACCCTCTAACAAACTACCCCCCCTCCCCCCGAAAAAAATTTAAAATATTCTGCTATTACATTTTGTTTTGTTATTACATATACTTTCATTTGTTCATTTTTTCAAGATGCGTTTCTTCATTGTTAGCAAGATATTTAAAAAAAGTACGAATTTCTTGTACTTACAAATTTTGCCCAGAGGCGCTGGCATAGCTACTGACTTTGAAGCTCAAATAACTACAAACAGTAGTTTCGTAT